GCAGAGATTATATTGTGTTTTGTTTCCATATCCTAAAGCAGTAACAATATAAATGTCCAGCTTTCCGGCCATGTGACATTTAATAAATCAATTGCTTCTGTTTGTCATAATTCAAAAAAGGACATGTTTTTTTGGATAATACAATTGCACCACAACCATATGATGTATGACAGCACTGTGGTAAAGGAAACTGTTTGGTGCGTTACGAAGCAATCAATCATCAATCAAAAACTTTTTAACATGGTGAAATCTACAGTATAACATTTTACAAGATAATTAACTAACATATAATTACAATTACGCTATGACAATTAATATACACTTATCCAAACACTAAAATACTGATTTACAAGATTGCCGTGCGGGAGTCCATCTCATATAGAGAACAGATTGTCAATTGCTCTTTCGAATTGACTTAGGGAGCATGTTGTTCGAACACTTTGTGGTAACTCGTTCCATAAAACTGCCCCCGCTATAACTGAAACTTCGCTTACCGTAGTTCGTTCTTGGTTTTGGTACAAATAAGGTGTGTTCAGAGTTTCTTAAGTTATATCCTGTGCTGCAAGATTCAAACAATTCATGGGGATAGAACGGAGTTAGATCGTTAATTGTTTTAAACATTAGTATAGCCTTATGCTTTTTCCAACTTGTTAAAAGATTATCCCCGCCCAGCATACTAAAAAGGTCTCTGGAACTAGCATCATATTGAGATTTAGTGATGACCCTCGCTGCCCTATTTTCCAATTTTTGCAATTTGTCATTTAACGTGATATTCAAACCATCCCAAACTGAGCTACAATAATCAAAGTGCGGTTGAATTAATGCTCCATAAATTTTCAGAGCAGTGTTTGTATCTATAAATTGGCGTACCGTTTAAGAGCTCCAATAGCTGATGCAATCTTTTTGAAAATATTTTCGACATGTCGTGCCCATGTAAGATGCTCATCGATTTGCAAGCCTAAGGATTTCGTTTCGCTGACTCTCTGAATAGTCTTTCCGTCGATTTCTATCCTTATGTGTTCGTCATCATGTACTAGTAATCTTTGACGAGATCCTATTATCATGAATTCTGTTTTAGCTATGTTAAGACTCAGTCAATTAGCTAGTAGCCACTGATGAAGATTTTTCAATTCGGAGTTTATTATTTGCTCAAGCTCCGTGACGAAATTTGCTGCGATGCTAATATTAGTGTCGTCAGCAAACATTCCTGGAGAGGCTCTTTCGAGACAATTAGGCAAATCATTTATGTATATTAAGAACAATAGAGGTCCCAAAGTTATTGCCTTGTGGTACCCCACAGGTTATTTTAGCAGTTTCAGATAACTCACCATTGACACAACATCTTTGACTGCGGTTGCTTAGGTATGATTCGAAGAATTTGATACCATTTTCATCAACGCCACAAATTTGTAACTTCTGTAAAAGAATGGTGTGATCAATAGTATCAAATGCTTTTTTAAGATTGATAAAAATAACTCTGTTAAGAAGGCCTTTATCTATATTTATTGACCAATTATCTGTGGCTTCTATTAGGGCAGTTAGTGTACTGTGCAATGATCGAAATCCAGATTGAGACGCAGATATTAGATTGTTGTTGTTCAGATACTCGTACAACTGCTCAAAAGTAAACTTTTCAAAAATCTCTGCTACTACAGAAATAACAGATATTGGTCATAGTTGTTCATGTCGTATTTTTTACCTTTCTTAAAAATTGGAGTAACTCTCGCTAGCTTCCAGTCTGTAGGAAAGATGCTTTTACTTATAGTCTAATTAAATATTTGAGTTAACAAGGGGGCAACTATTTCAGCTGAAATTCTTAAAAGTTTGCAAGGTATTTTATCAAGACCAGCTGCTTTCCTTTCGATAATTGCTTTTAATTTTTGTAAACTGCATATACAGTGACGGATTTCATTGAAAATGTGGTTTCAGCAGGCACAACATATACGGGAAAATTATTTTTAAAAACATATTTTACAACAATTTTTCTTCAATTCATCCAATAGCACTGAAATGCCTCCCTCCAAGAGACCTGCAACAACAGTTAACTATTCTACTGCAAACAGAAACTGATCCTGCAGACCCGCCAAATGTCCTGAGCCGTGCCAACCAATCCTTGCACAGTACCAGAACAATAAAGATATAACTAGAGATCCAAGGATAGTGTGAAGTTTCAAATTGAAAAAGACACTGCAAGAACTATATAGGGATGCCGACAACCTTGAAAAGCTGATGGCTTGCACTATGAAATAAACAGTTACCAAAGGCATTTCATCTCATCTATTGTTTTTAATGCGTTCGGCACATGAGTAAAACAACGTTTGAAACAAGCCTAAACACATCAGAAAAGTCATCCCTCGTGGAATTGATACAATTTATTTATTTATTGTGATGGTACATGCAACAACTCGAAATTTAATTTTTTCACCAACAACCAAATTTTGCATATTCTAGCACTTCATTTGCAGCTGTCGCTAAAAGCATCCCGACAAGGCTACTGATATGCTATACTTATTTAAAACTATGATTATTCCCATCATCATTTCAGCACCCATATTGCACCCATATTGTCTCAGTAACAACTTTAATTGACATAGCTGTATAAGATATGTTATAAGCACTACGATGTTGCATCATCAAAAGGACGCATTTTATCCCCATATCCGTTCTGTATTTGATCCCCCCATATTCGTTCCGTGGATCCGCTCCATCCACTTCAGCATTTTAACGTAATTGTGACATGTTTCACAATAACAAGTCTCATTAGTTAATTTTCACTGAAGCACGAGAACGAACAAATAGCCTCATTAATATCATTAACGCGATGAAAGATTCGTAAAATAGTAAGATTCTATTGGTTGTACCATTAGCTGTTTTATATGCTAATCACTGCAGCACAAGAACGAACGAACATGCCTTTATCTAATATTATGAATAAATGTTTGTCCTGCACTATTTCTCACCTTTGTTTTCATCTGCTGCACATCTCTTGGGTATTTTTACTTGTACTCTTTCTGATTATTATATGTAATCTCCTTTCTCATCATATGTAGAATAACATGCTTAAAAATCTCTATGTGATTTGCGATAAGTTTCACTTCAGCGCACATGAAAGGCATTTAAGTTTGTAGTCTAATGGGAATGATTACAAACAACCTGTTAAGGTATTTAGTGACTTTTAATTTGAAAAACATCTATTGCAACTTTGTCTCCTTGTGCTTTGACTAACGATGGTAAATGACAAGCAAGTTTTTAATCTGGTTTTAATGTTATTAAACAATGTTCCCATGGCTATTAGTTCAGTATATTTGCAGACTCTTCAGGCAGCAGAAGAGGAATGTGATGTAGTTACTGCAAATGAATCGGTCCAATCGCTGCTTTTCTCTCTTACACTTTGTTGTCGGTCACTCAACGGTTTACTGGCACTTGCAGCTACATGTGGGCAAATAAATATACCAAGACTCCGATTGGATCATACTCTGCACCCTAACTTTTTTCGTTCTAATTTCCATGGGAGAAACTTTTTAGAGGAATTACAGACATGTGAGCATTTATTTTGGAGCTTGACGGGAGAAAGCATTGAATCTTTTCGACAAATAGTTTGTGATGTGATGCCGTATTTACAAACGTACACCTGCCGTCGAAGGTTTCGTGACAACCCCTTTTCTCTTGACATTAGAAATCGATTTCTCCTCTGTATTATCTGGCTTCGAATGTACCCTGAACTTGTGCTTAGCATAATTTTTATGGTTAGTTCGGCGACGGTCGAGAGAGAGAGAGATACTATTCCTGCTTCCTGTTCTATGGAGTTAATTTAAAGACTTGGTGAAGTGGCCCACGAAAGAGGAATGGTTGGAAAGAGCAAATGAATGGGAAATGTTTCCTGGTGCTGTGGCTGTCATTGATGGAACTCGTCACCAAATACAAAGACCACAGACTGAGCCTCAACAAGATTATCATGGACAACAAAGGCAATATTATCTACATACAGTCAGGATATTTGGGGCGTAATAATGACAGTGGTCAGCTTCACATGATGCCTTCCATTGGAACTAAAGAGCTTCATTTGCCTGCTGGTCTTTATACAGGGTGTATAAAAAAAAAGCGCAATCCTCGACTGAAATGTAAATTTCTAAACAAATAATAGACGAAAACGTTAAAGTTTACATTCATTTCAAAGCATAGCCATTCAGCTTTCTAACAGTGGGTTGTTTCTTAAATTTGACTCATTGGTTCGCGGGTAATAATACTTTACGTTATTGCGATTGGAGATTAAAAAAATTGAGATGGAATAACAAATCGTTCTCATGAAAATAACTGATTTTTTCATTAAAACAAAAAAATGTTGCATTTTATTAAATGGATTGTAACAATAAGTATACTTTACGGCTTTTCTTCCACTATTTTCAACTCAGTTTGAAACTTCAAATGCGATATAATTTTGGCTTCGACCATCTAAGCTGACTGACATCAACTTGCTATAATTTCTGTTTACATTACATCGCAATTCGATGACATTCTGGCTCATGATCAGACAACAGAATGTTTTGACGATTTTTAGCATTCGTTTAGGATTTTCAAACAACCTGGTCTCTTTTAAAATACTTTTAATTTGTTCTTACGTGGTTTTCCAGGTGTAGTGACGACAACATTAAAGTTTAAAGAAGAAAATTCTAACATTTAAACCGACTAAACAATAACATAGTAAACTTGCATAATTAAACAGCAACTAAAAATGATAGGTTTTACTAAATCTTTTCCTGTGCAATTATTACTAGCATTGGAGACAAGGATAATAGTTTGTTTGAAAGAGAAAAGAACAGGCTTTGAAGTAAGCCTAAAAGCGTTTAACTAGAAATAGTATTTTGAAAGTTATTAAGCACAAAAGATGAATTGCGTTTATTTTGATACACCCTGTATTCTAGCAGACAAAGGATATCCCTGCTCTTGTCCTTTTCTTACCCTGTATGGACACGTTGGTGGTGATTTGAGGAAGCAATTGTTCAACAGGGAATTCTCAAAACATTGAACACCCGTAGAGCACTGTATAAGAGTTTAAAAATACGGAGCCATACACCACCTTTGGCATCATGAGCGTTGGATGTTTCCCATTGTAAACGAACTGTGTGCGCTCTTGGCTGAAAGACATATTGAACTTTCACAAAACTTTTAATAATCTTGGATATATACGTTAATATTCACAGAATGGTTGACAATTGACATGTTATGGTTGAGTTGAGTGGTAATATTAATATATGTTAAATATCAAAGGAAAATCAACTATATTTTAAATGTTATATGTGCATATATATTTGAATGTATGTGAATATGAATACGAATATAAATATACATATGTAAATACGAAAATAACAAAATTACTGGTCTAATTGTCTTCTAATTAGTTTGTTCATCATATCCATTGTTTGTTGTATTAGTTGAGTTAAAACTGGCAATTCCCTGGTTAACTCCTCTTTGACCACCCCCTAGAAAACTATTCCAGAACTGAAATAGTATTGTGCAAGGTTCATATCTCTGGTTCAGTTAATGCTGTTTAGATGAAAATACCGCCATTCGATTCAGTATAAAATTCTCTACTAATTCCTAATGATAGTTTTCGTCTATGTCAACTTTATGGCGATTTATGAGCTTTGAAAGTCAAGCGAGATTGTATATTATCAAATTACACAATTGTCTGAACAAAAATATAGACTAGCCATACCTTTCGCCTAACATAACTTCGGCCCCTTCGGATGTGTCTTCTTTGTAATAGTCTTGTTAAAATCGATGTCACCAGCTGTATTTCGGGAGTCATTTGCGAGTCTGTATCTTCGTATTTGACAAAAGTACATGGCATTTCTGGCCCGATTGTGTGTTTAATCTGAACCGGAAATAAATTTCAAAACGTCAAAACAATGCGAGGTTTGTATCGTATGACTCTGGAAATGCCAGCAATCGATTCTAAAGGTCAAAGTGCACCTATACTCACGAGTTTGACGTCATCTCGGCTAAAGGAGCTCCTTATTGGCCAAGTATTATGCAATACGTGTGCATGCGAGTAAAAACCCGATACCTTGAAAAATTCAAAATAAATATTTCTACTCGCCGTATCCAAACGAAACTTTCTACACAAAAGCGCTTGAATACAAAGAGTACTTTACTCATATAACCGATGTGAAGTAATGAAAAGTTTAGAAGATATTCTACTTTTTCTTGATATGAAATGCAGAATGTTTGGCCAAGCGGTGAGTAAATATATGATTGTTTCGGTTTGTGTAATGTTTTGACAGCATTTCAACCGGTTATTTTGTGAGGATTTCAATGGTGGTATTAGTTTCAAAGGGGAAATACTCGCAGAAATATTTACATTAGAAACATTGACTCGTATTATGTAATGCAATACCGTCGGTCGATAAAGAGTTAAAAAGGTATTTAGTGCCTGAGCATTTTCACACGCTATTGCATGGTAAGGACGTCTTTGTCCTCCAGCAACTGGATTAGGAATGCCAATTTGCTGAGTTGGCAGCAGTATATGTGCTGGAGGGTGCAGTGGTGGTTGAACTGCAGGTTGTTGTGCTTGAGGGTGAAGTGGTGGTTGAACTGCAGGTTGTTGTGCTTGAGGGTGCAGTGGTGGTTGAACTGCAGGTTGTTGTGCATGAGCATGTGGTGGTGCTGCAGCCCCTTCCTGTAGTAAAGCCTGTAGATGTTCTGGAGCATGTGGATGTGGGGGAGCCTGTAGATGTGGTACTTCAGCCTGTAATGGAACATTAACCAATCCATCGCCTTGCATCGCATACAATCTGGCTTCATAGTCCTGGACATGACACGCTTCCATCTGTAAGCCATGGGCTTCGATGTTTTTTTGTATCACAGCACAAGCTTCTCGAACAAAGGCATTTTGATGATTTGCATATATCATCTCATTTATTTGCTCCAAAAGTCCACTAAATTATTGCGAAAATGTAAACATCGTGAATAAGGTTTAAATTACAAAAGGTTTAATAAAATCTTTCCTTTGATAAATCGTAATAACAATCCATACATCAACAACCGGGCAGAAATCCCAGTAAGGACTGAAATCCCTAGTCGAAGTCCTGCCAACGTTTTCTGTCTGTTCTACGCAAACAGAAGAATGGCATGGAGTTGCACAATTTTTGCATGAACAAAATGAAGACACGCTTCAATCAGAAGTGGTGTGTGTATGTAAGTCAATGTATAGGTTGCACATATAGGTTGTGAATTGTAAGTATAAGATCACTGCACTAAATTCTATCTGATATATAACTTCAGCGGCCGGTTGTATAAATACACAGTTAAAGTAAACCTTCGTTGAGTGCGATCGTCATTCAAACAGAATCACGTATTATACATTTATAAGTCATTGAACCACTTTTTAACTTCAACACCACAGTTTAATAAAACGTTGTTATGAGTTAGGATTTAGTCATATTGTTACCTTGTTGGCATATTTAATTCTACAGTCTAGACTGTTGTCTCCTGCTGTTGATATTCTTGTCCATTCATGTCTCTTCTTGTTCCACATTTGTATGCCCAAATATCACAGCCAAGATTTTTCAATTCAAGGTAAAAAATTAACATACCTGCATATATGTTCGTTCTCGTGCTTCAGTGAAAGTTAACTATTGACCTTTGACTTATTCCCAGTGTCAAGTTGTGTCATTTTCAGCTTTTCGCATGTATTCAATGTCACTTTGGATTTCAATAGTTTCACAGTTATAGCAGTTTTGACAAGCTTTGATACAGCTCTGTATACAGATTGATTTGCGTAAGATCTGGTAGAGTTATCATTGCACTGAGTACAAGTTTGCACCATTGTGCTATGTAGACTAGACAGTAGGCGGGGTCTGTGATGGTACACATTGGCTACCTCCTTTCCTTTTTGTTGCATGCCATATATGGCACTTTCATATAGCTCTAAATTTCTTGTCGCCGTGTTCAGTGTGCGTACCGGTCGTAAATCACGTGGTAGATTCGTAAAGTACGAGTGTACGACAAATACAGAGTTTTTCCGACGAGCATTTTCATGCCAGGTTTTCATCGAGGTAACACAAAGAAATACTGATTATTTGCCGAAAATTTACATAAATGAGCGCCTTAGAAAAATAAATTGAGGTAGGTAAAGCTTTAATGTTTTTAACTTACCTTGTATTTTGTTATTTGTTGTGATTTTGCAGCCATTGTGCTCGCACTGATTACTTATCAGTTATCAAGCGTTTATATTTATATATTGTGAAAGCCTCAAAGCCCAATGCTATCAAAATACTCGATTTTTATATACTCTAACTGAAACGGAGCCATTGTGCTCGCACTGATTATATTGTGTGCAAAGCTTCAAAACTACAGCACATTTTGTAAATAACATGAAATATAAATATCAAAAATTAGACTATTAAACTATTGAAATTTAATACAACGAAATAGCAACCATTGTGAAGTATGCATAAGATTCAACATGACATTCAGCATGACATTCGATATAGTGTAAATTAACTCATTTCAATCCCTCAAACAGTCAAAATGATAAATAATAATCATTTTCAATCTATTATAGTAATTCACCGTTTCCACAGGTTTTTTATACCTTTAAAAAGCTACAATAAAGCTAAATCTAAAGGAAATTTAGTTATAAATTTGTGAAGGAAATCTAAGGGTGCTTTCCATTAACACGGCCAGACCGGTCAAATTGTTGCATGAAACACAAAACATTTGGGCTTTGGACACGGAAAATTTGGATAACATTAGAATGATGTCCATTTTCACTAGATATTTGAGAAACAGACCAAATCTTTCCATTGACACAGAGAAAAGAATTTGGGTCTGACCATTAAATGGAAAGCGCCCTAACAGTCATTTGCTTTCGATAAAACCTTGACCTTGTTAATGTTATTATTACTGTCACTTGCAACTAACTATTAATGGTCGCTTATAAAAACATTGTCTATTCGCGTGTTTCAGCTGGGGGGTTCTACACCGTAGGCTAATTCATGTGAGAATCTTAAGCAAATTTCTACCATCAAGAGCTCGTCCTTCCCCCCCCCCCTCCCCCTTCAAAACAATGTTGACTGTTATTGCAAGCATTGTGCTTAAGAATTTCAACTCAATCATGAGCAACATTGCTCTGTAGGGGGGAGGGGAGAGGAAATTACACTTTCACATGGGTAGTCTCATAATTTTTGTGAAGGATTGTAGCTCCGTAAAATGAATATACAGACTAAATAATATCGGCACTTGATTGAATGCCCGTAATGCATAACATCAATTTATATATTGCGTAGATTCTCAAAGATTTCTCAATATGTCACGTCTGAAATCCTAGCATATCATCACGCCATCATGATCTACAGCTTGATAGCGCATGCACATTTTCCGGAGGAAAGATCCTTTACACAACATGAGCAGCAAATGTTATAATTTACAAAAAATTACAATAATGAAAACAATTCCTCAAAATTTTTGTGAACTTGGCAAAAGGATAAAAGAATATTTAAATAAGACAACTGAAATTGCCTAAATAACTTTCAAAGCACTAAGTACAATAAATCACTAGGAACATAAATCGTATACACTCTCTGGAAAGTTTACTCTATGACTGACTGATTTGTTTGAATTTTTCCCCAGTCATCACAATACTGTGAAGTTTTGAAGAAACTTCACACTAAAAACGGCCAGCATAATACAAGACCTGTGTAAAGCACGCAAGCACAACTCTCCAATTAGCACTGATATAGATATATACTGGGAACTTATGGAATTGTGGGAAACTCTGATTAGTTATCACTCTGAACCAAATGAAGAAAGACTAGACCGAAACACGAGAAATTTATAAAGCAAATGTTAGCATACCATGGCACCTACAACGGCATAACTTGTTTGCATCACATGATCGGTTGTATGGTGAAGTACATGGTTGTGGATAACAGGAAGGCAAAGAACGACGAGAGTGCACAGAATACTTATGAGAAGATCGTATCATAGAATATCAATATGTGGAATATGAAAACGTTCTGGCAAGGTGTGGCTGTGAATTATGCACAAGTGTTGTCGATTTTGACGATCGTTGCTAAAGCTAATCTTAGGAACTTTACAATCTCAAACAGTATGGTTTTATTCAAATTAAGGTGGCTTCCTATGTATTTTCAGGTTTTTGTGCACGTTGTGACATTTAAGTCAAATATAAAGTATATATGACACAATACGCATTACGAAGCCATCTTAATTTTCTAATACGAATACATGGGATGGACAACAAATTGTCTGTGAAGTGAAGAAAATGCTATGAAATATTATTCTTTTCGACATATTTCAATAGCTTCATAGAACTGTAAGTCGTAAAACTGAATGATAAATTGCATTTAGAAAGTTTTTACACAAAATTCAAGAGGGCGGCATTCAACCAAAATTGTATATAGTATTATGTGCACACAAATGCTTTTACTCTGCACAAAATGACAAGAAAAGTGACCGGAAGAAAATGCCTGGAAGAAATACCTCAATCAATACTCTATCTTAGTTCCAATATGTATTTTATAACATTTTGTAACTATTTCACCGTCACAGCTTTTTGCTTTTTTTCAAAATGGCTGCTCATTTTGACATAGCAACAGAAGAGGAAATTGCCCAAAT